TTTTTGAGGAATAGATAAATAAATAATCTATTCCCCAAGTTATAGCTGGAATTTAAACAAAAACTTGATTAGTTATGTCTGTAAGCCTCATTTATTATGTGGTTACAACATGGGAAGATTAGAGGCTTTTTGCAGATCCCATAATAATTGATTATTTCTCATCTGACCCAATTAAAAGCTAGAAAAATACTTACTGCATCTAATGTGTTGTATTTTAATTGTGTAAGTAGATAATGCAAAGAGAAAACAAAAATATATGAAGCCAGACTTTATGAAAACCATCCTTGTATGAGTTGCTCCATTCTAACCCCACCCAACTTGGCTCCAAACCCATGTAATTATATGCTATAAAGTCACATATAGTAGTAGTTATTATATAACAACAGTAGTAGTAATAATAATAATTTTGTTGATCTGGCAAGCTATACTTATAAGAGACCTTTTTAATAAGCACTTATTATGTATCTATTATGTTCAAGTCACAGTGCTAGATGATTTTTAAAAAGTGAGTAAGACAGTGTCTCCATCAAGACTTTATGTAGTTGGAGAAAGAAGCACGTAAACAACTAACTACAGAACAAGACTTAGTATGATAAGTATCAAGACGAAAATACAAATCAACAGTGTAAGGAGCAATCAAGAAGGAGCTATTTTGGCTAAAAATTTTAGGAGGGCTTTATGTAGAAAGTGTACATTATTTCAGCTGGATATGGTAGTGCATGCTTCAAGCTAGGGTGAGAGGATCACTTCAGCCCAGAAGTTTGAGGCCAGACTGCCCAATATAGCAAGACCCTGTCTCTAAAAAAGAAAAAGAAAGTATACATTATTTCGTTTGGTTCTCCTCATCAGGCTGTGAGGCATTAGGGCAAGTATTGTGATAATCATTTATCAGTTCTCACAGGATGAGAACCAGGATACAGCACCCAGCTCTAATTATTAATCAATATCGTTTCCTCTGTGGTCGGTTTGTTTTTATGAATAACTCACATAACTACCACTGGCATTAGAAAGAATACAATTTATCTTAAAGGCTATTGGTGCTTACTAATTGCCAGGAATTTCTGTGAGTTCTTTACATTTATTAACGTATTTAATCATTAAACAACACTTTAATTATTATTCCTATTTTATATCTGAAGAAACTGAATCACAGAGAAGTCAAACAAACTGCCCAGAGTTACCCAGCCATTAAGTGGCAGAGCCAGGATTTGAAGCTAGGATGTCTAACTTAAGAGTCCAAGCTCCTAAACTGTAGTATCTTTTTTCGGGTCTTAAGCAGCACCTAGCAGAGTACTCTGCTCTGGTCTTTGTGACTTATAAATAAAAACTATTGACTAATGTAAAATCAGTAGTTGGAAAACCTTGAACAAAGCCTGATTCATTAACAAGCAAATATTACTGAAACTTTAAAGGTCACCAAGCACAGATTAGAAAACAGTAAGCTTACAAGATCAACAATGTTGCCAGTGCTAGTACATTTTTGACAGTACAATGACTATTCATTCAATGCTTATTTCTGAGCAGATGACAAAAACAGCATAAATTACCACTGCTGTGTTTTGCATTTCTAGCTATTCAGATTCTTCAAATGTCAATATCACAAGAATACTCAAAAGAAACAGTGTCACAACCTGTATCAGACCTGAATACATCCAATACTGGTTTTGGAAGTGTTTTAAGATTCAAAAAGTGAAAAAAAAAAATTTCAAACTCTGAAATTTTCTTACCCAAAACAAAGACATTTTTTTAATTTTCATTTTTTTATTTCAGCATATTATGGAGGTACAAAAGTTTAGGTTACATAAATTGCTTTTGCCCGCCAGAGTCAGAGCTTCAAGTGTGTCCATTCCCCAGACGATGCACACTGCACCCATTAGGTGTCAGCATACGCTTCCCCTCCACCCCCTCTCACCTGCCTGACACTCAATGAATGTTACTACTACATGTGCACATAAGTGTTGATCAGTTAATACCAATTTGATGGCGAGTACACGGGGTGCTTGTTTTTCCATTCTTGTGATACTTCACTTAGTAGAATGGGCTCCAGCTCTACCCAGGATAGTACAAGAGATGCTAGATCACCATTGTTTTTTGTGGCTGAATAGAACTCCATGGTATACACATACCACATTTTATTAATCCACTCATGTATTGATGGGCACTTGGGTTGTTTCTACATCTTTGCAATTGTGAATT